TATTGAAAATGTAAAAAAAATTAGGTACTTTTGGAGCAATTTAGGTATTTTCAGAATTTTGACATTTTCTTAAAATGACTGTAACTCAAAAATTGAAGTCGGAATCAACTCAAACTTTTTACACAGCATAAGGGCATTAATGTGTATGAGAGAATGTAATAAAAATTAGGGTGATTTTGAAGCCATTTTTGGAAAACCATGCATTGCTATCAATGTACTGGACTAGGCTGTTAAAGAGAATGACCAATTATTGATAAAAAAAACTTTAAAAGTTATTGTTTGGCCTAATTCAACATTTTACATTTTTCACACAGAAATTATTAGTAGTTATTAAAAGTCAAGTTATGCAGTGTTTTCACTTATCTCTGCACTTTTATCTGATTTTGACGAATTCTCATCTGGAACACTTTCAGAGGAAGTTATGAACGAACTTTTTCCACGATACAAGAAACTTGAATACCTCTTTGTCAATTTTACTGCTTTGTTTCCAGTGCTTTTAACTGAGCTCCACTTAAGTATGAAGTTCAAAATGCTCAATGGTATCAAACTCATTAACATGTACACAATGATACTCATGTAAGGGCTCTCTTCAAATGTTCCTCTATCACATTTTCCAGGGACATAACCAAATGCCTCGCATTCAAAGTATTCTCTTAAAGCTGCTTGAAACTTTCCAGCTTTTGCTGTTATGTCACTAACATGCCCTAAAATGAAAACACCAAAAATAATAAAAGATGTGAAAACTAAGAGGATTTTTTTCTCTGCAGTGCTGAGCTGGGTATGACTTTTCTTTTTCAAGAAATTAGTTTTCTATCAACAAAAATAGAGTATTTATATAAATTCATAATTGTAGTATACTTACTTTCCTAATAGTCCAAAGAATTATAATTAGCATCATAACACCAAGAGCAAGTAAAATGTCTATTGGAAGTGTTGTAGAATAGAACCACATTTCACCATTGCTGATGCAAAGGGTTGTTGGAAAACGGTGGATATTATATTTGAATTTGTCAACGGAGAGGCAAATGATAACAGCTGGCAATGGAAGTAGTATAGCTTTAAAGATATAGGAAATGGATTATTTTTAAAATTAATAAGTGCAATAATACTCACACAAAATGGTCACAGTTGTAAATATATACTTGTTCCGTCCCAGCTTTTCAAATCTATTTGCTTGGAAGGGAAACAATACTTTGTGAAAGAATATAGCAACATGAAAGAACCACCACAATGCCATATTTACAATGGCGTAATGAAATACAACTCCTATATACATTAAAAATAAAAGCTGTAGATAAGTGATTAATTTCACCTGAAAATATACAAAAAGGAGTTGGATTATTTAGTGTCTCTAGTAGACTAACTGAACTGCAGTATAATCCATGCCGATCAATAGCTGTTATGATTACTACTATGACTAGATATGGATACATCAAATTAAAATTATTTTAATGCTCTTTACCAAATACAATCATGTCTATGACTTGAAAAAATACCAATACAGAAGGATATGCTAGCCTGCAATGATAGAAATAATACAATATTAATTTAGATCTAGGTCTGAATTAAAGGCACTAACAAAGTTTTATATTCTTTGACAGCAACAATAATTGTAACAACGCAAAAAATTAATCCCAGACCAGTTGCAACAACTTCCGAATAGATCAGTATTTGTGAGTTTAAATGAGAAGTTTGTTCAAAACTGTCACATCTTGGCTCACAGATTAAATCTGTTTTAACAAAATCTTCTCTGCACACTATACCATCAGTACCATTGGTATCATTTATGCCTTCAATTGGAATTGTGACAGAAGATGAACCATTGGCAACTGCTTAAAGTATAAATTATTAGTAATATTTAAATAATTATCATACCATTTGGTAGTGTAGTACAGTCAGGTAGAAGTGAGCCATACCCGTAGTTGTTTGCTACTGTCCACAGGTCTGAACAAACACCTGTACTTATGAGGAAGCAGTCTTCCTTGGTAGCCTTGTAAGATTTTCCAGTTGA